TGAGCCACAGATTCTGTTTCCATCATAATTGTACAATCCTCTGGCACCACAGCAAGCTCTTAGAAGAGCTGTTTGATCAAAACCCAAAGTCAGATTTCATAAAATAGACTGCAATCCAGTGTAATAATCAGCATAAATTATGACTGGATATGGAAATTCCTGCCCGAGCAATGCTAAAGCCTGTTGGAGATAGCTGTTATGATAAGAAGCAAAAGCATCAAAGCTCTTAGACCAGCTTTATCATCATAAGGTAAGGGATTTGGTGAAGAGAATGAGGTCAAATTGATTGGAAAGCACCCAACGAGAAAATTTCCAGGAACCACTATCCTGACAGCACCGAGACCGTTCACGTCTCTCGCAAGTCACATTGCTCCAACCACATAAGGGATTACACTCCAATTTCACCGACCATGAAAAGAGCTCTCCTACCTTGCACACTCTGCTGGAGTATGGGAACTAGCTAGAGATAAGATGTCTAACCAATCAAATTGAAGGCGAAGAGAAGTATCAGCAGAAGAAGTGTGAATGCCTCTTTCTGTGATAAAGATGGAATGCTGTACTTCCAGCTACTGCAAATTCAAAGAAAAATAATATTTATAATTTTGATTTATTGATATATCGTCAAAATCGCAATTCAACCAGTTGAATCATGGGATTCCACAAGTTTGCATAGGCAAAGCGGAGAATAGAATCGGATGGAACCACGATTTTAATAATAGAATCGGTTGAATTTAAGTATTTACGATTTTATAACTTGGGCTTTGTTTCGCTTTCAGCATAATATTCTATTTTTAGCCCAATCCAACTCTTTTTCTCATTCTTAAAATCAAAAATTAGCAAAAAAAAATTATAAAAAAAAAAAACACATATAAGCAGAAGAAGATCTGATCCGAGTTTATATATATAGTTTATATATAAACTATATATATATATATATATATATATTAAATTAGATGCTTAAAAATTTGTTTGAAAGCTATTTATTTTTGTAAAATGTATTTAATGCTAGCAAAACTTGATTACCAAATTACTGTTATTATTATATTATGGAAAGCTAGTTCGAAGACTTCTTCACTCTTCATATAATTAGATGCTAAATAATTTTGTTTGAAAGCTATTTATTTTTGTAAAATGTATAATGCTAGCAACTTGATTTTACCAAATTACTGTTATTATTATATTATGAAAGCTAGTCGAGACTTCTCACTCTTCATATCTTTGACAAGATATGAAAAGACCAACTATACCAAACCTAAACAATACCTTTTGACATCTCTTTAATTACAATAATGTCATTTTACTAACAATTGATAATTTTACTGTTATGGTTTCAATTTGTATAATATCATCTTTAGATTATTTAATAATTTTTTTAATATTAACAAAAAAAATATATGAAAATTTATGAAAGATATTATAAATCATTAAAAATTATATTACCTATTTGGTAGAATTTGAGAAATTTAAAAAAAATCAAAAAATAGTAAATATTTATACATTTATTTTTTATAGTAAAAAGTGATAAATTAAAAAAAAATTAAATCTGAATTTTATGTTTGCCATAATAAATTTGTACCATTAAAAATAAAAATAGAACTTCGAAACCACAATGTAAAATAAAAATAAAATAGATCAAATGCAATAATTTTAATAGCTTTAATCATTCCTTTCTTGATTATACAATTACAATATTTTACCTTAAAGCCCACAAGGCTACAACTCAAATAGCCTCTAAAATGGTCAAATATCCAACTTGAAAAAAAATATTTATTTAATATAATTTTTACATATTGTACTATCCATTCCATCATAAGTTTTCACTTTTCTTCCTATATTATATATTTAAAAAAATAATAATAATCCGGTCAACACGCTCGTTTCTTTCTAATTTTGGATTATAATAAACTAATGTCATATGTTGTATAGAGCAAACTAATTGAATAATTTATTATAAATTGACCCCATATTTTCTAATAATTGATACTAATGGCATATTTTCTAAATTAAAAACGCTGATGATGTATGACACGCGCTATATATTTTCTGTATATATCTCTCTTCATTTTCCTAATCTCATTCAAAATAAATTCAACACTTTCTATTAGTCACATATATCACTTTTATAAAATCATTTTAATATTATTTATTGCTTTTGTTGTTAAAATCTCTCACTTTCTATTGTTACATACTTGAAGTATATTTTTGACTCATATACTACTAAAGGAAAAAAAAAAATCCATTAAGTAATCCATTTAATTGTGTTATTTTGGGCAAAATAATTACTCTACCCATAAAAATAGTTAATTTTTTTTATTTAAATAGAAATGTATCCGACCCGACCCAGCATATATTCATATTCCTTACTAAACGACACAGTATATATCATATGCTGAACCGAACCGAACCATCCGCGTTTAAACCCCATCCAAGACTTCGCAATTTGATTCATTCAAAAATGATAGGTTACATAGACGCCGCGTAACTTCCTGGTCAACTCAAGAGTCAAACTCAGCCATTGAAGAGCCCAAGCCCGCCGCGTGCGTCCCACTACTATGCAACCCAGCTCCAGGCCGAACTATATAAAATTATAAACCAAGTATCATCTACTCGCTTTCCTCCTAATCCTATCCAGAGCCAAATTCCAGAACCAAATATATGAGAGGAAATGGAAGAACTAAATAATATTAATAGAATCACAATGAAAATAATAAAAGGTTCCCTAGGCTGCATGAAACAAAGGATTGAGACTAAGACTTTGTTTGTTGTTGTTTGCCTGGGCAGCGTGATGATAAATTGGCATCTATAAGAAAGGGAAGAAAGGCATAAATTTATGCTCCCAGAAATTTATCTCAATATGAAGAATTTTCAGACACACAGTGCAGCAAACAAACTACTTATTCAAATAATTAAACTGTTAAGCGATTAGTTGATGCTCAAATGTAGATTTACTTTCCGAGTGAAGCACTTCATGGCTGCGAACAGTTAGGAAACCCTCCGTCAAGATCTAAGAGCCAAAAATTTGTAACAAATGATTGACTGGCATCAAGGAAAACAAGGCTGCTTTCACTATTGCATATAGAAGTGATCTGCAGCTGTCAATTTGTTGGCAGTCATACCAGAGGCCTGGCCTATGTTTGCTGCCCAGAAATGAAACTATTTCAAAATGTGTTTTATAAACATATGAATTGCTGATGAGTATCCTGTTTTAACTGGTGGCTGGAATATTTTTCTATGATCTAAGCAGACTTAATTGCAAAAGAAGACGTAATTATGAGTACCCACATTCGTCCATTTCCTCTATAAAATTCCACCCCATTCAGAGTAATGAGCTTGGCAATTAAATTCATATATTTCTTCTGTTATGTGCATGAGAAAAAGAGGTAGGGATAGCTTGATCAAGCCCCATAAGATTTCCAAAAAAGGCTCATTCATTCTTCTCAACCAACAGTTCCTCACATCTTGCAATTTCTGGCGATATTAATAGGAAAAATGTCAAAGAATAGAAGAATAGAAGAATAGTATGCGTGTGCTCGGACATTGATGCTCATTCTAGATTAAACATAAATAAACTGCTTTAAGAGATAGGTGGAGATTGGATTCATTATCATAAAGACAAATTGGCAAGCATACTCTACAAAAACAAGGTCATAGAACAAGGCATTCCCTTTCACCTAAAAACATTAGGCCATCCTTTCTTTACATTAGCTTTATTTTGATTTCTGATACAGAAAAAAGAAAGAAAGAATTATAATTAAGAGAACAAAATTAGCATTACAAAGCAACTGAACTTACACCTCAATGGTTCACCAGGAAATCAACACTTCATCAACGCCCTAATTTCAGAAATGGTGTGTTGCTTTGGTATCCACTCATTTGAGTCCCCAGTTACAACCGTAGTCAGCAAACAGAAGCCTTGAAATTTTGATCAACTTGTAAAATCCATCGCTCAAATTACTACCTCTGTGAAGGAGAAAATAAAAAATCTGATCAGATATTGCAATATGCCTAATCATTTACTAACACCAAAAATATTCCATCTGGTAGAAAAAACCAACTTCTAACAGCTTTTCCCTTGACAAAATCAAATTGCCTCGTTTGGTGGTTGAGAAAGTCCATGAAAAATTCAAGAAAAAAGTAGAAAATTTTAAATAATATTAATACTAAAAAATTTCAGTTGATTGATTCATGGAAAATTTCATCTTTTACGAATATCGATCTTAAAATCCAAAATTTTATTTTCCATCTTCATTGCAGATTTTCTCAGTATCATATCAATCATTAAAAAAGAAGAAAAGAAATTACCTTCCCATTATCAGGTAACTCCGGCACCTTGTATGTATCAACGGTAACCTCTGTCAACCACAACCCTGGAAACAGACACTGCAACAAGAAAAGGAAGAAAAACAAACATGAATTTGGTTTAAAAACCAGAAATGAACGCTTTCAAGAAAAGAACAAAAAAAAAAAAAAAGCCAGATGCTTTCAAGAAACAGAGACTAAAATCCTTATTGACTTACATCCAACTGCTTCTGAACATTCCTGGACCGCTTCTTGGGCCTCCGAGCTGGTCTGTGGCCTACCATTTCCATAAAATCCTCTTCGATCTCCTTCCTCGAGAGAGCCACGGAAAACTTCGGCCTCACCTGCTCCGTATCCTCCTCTTTTTCCTTTTTATCTCCTCTCAGCCTAGGAGATTTCGAGCTCTCATTCCGCAACGGCGAATAGTTACTCACTTTTCTCTCCTCGATTTTCAAGCCTTTCCCTGTGACTGAATTTCCAGCAATTGGAGCTTTACAGGCTGCTCTTCTTGTTCGCAGGTTCCACGGTCTCTCTGTCTGCGCCGCCGGTGGGACCAGAGGAGGAGATTGAACTTTCTCATGTTCTTCCTCTCCTTCCTCATGCTGCTGAGCAGCCTCCTCATCGCCTTCTTCCGACACTCCTTTTCTCAAAATTGCATCTTTCATCTTATCTGCCTCCGCTTTGAAATCGAACATCAGCTTCTCCCTCACTGCCGCAATCCCTTCCTCAACGCCGTCGCCGCTATCGTGTCTCGATTTTGGTCTCTTGAAGCGGCGGATTTCGTAATCCGGACTAGCAACAAACTTAGACGGCGGAGATCGGTTACTACGGAGGCGATCGCCAGAGACTCCATTATTAATGTTCTTATTCTTACCGTTAGAAGAATCAGAGTCTTTCATGCACCGGAGATATTTCTGACTACCCCACTTCAAACAAGGAAGATTGAAATTATGAAGCGGTGGCTTCGATCTCTCTGTTCCCATCGCCATAACCAACTCTCTTACTCTCCCTTCTGTCTCTCCAGAACACACCATTGAAATACAAAACACAACACGTACTCTCTAATTAGAGCTCAGATCACAAGCTCCCTCTATTCTGTTTCTCACGAATCTTTATCTCTCTATTTTCTGTTTGTTTCTCGCGACTTTTATTTAGGAGAGGTTTTTTGGGTTTGTATTTTACGTTTTTATGTTTGTGGTCTGTTTTGGAAATCGCCGGGAAGAAAGAGTTTATATATGTGTGAAGGAAAAAGGAAGAGAGGGGGCAATTTTAACGTTCGGGTGCAAGTGGTTCTTTGTGGCTTCGGGGTGTTTTGGTAATTTGGCTCGAGATACGTACTATCATGCGCTGGGGTGTAAGAGGGTGATGAGGTGGGTTTTCCCGGGTAATATGTCGTTTTTAAGTGCTGAGTGTTGACGTAACTACCGTTGGATATGCGCTTAATCAAATTCATCTTTTCTTCTGGCCATCGATTAAATCCAGTTCGAGAAATGACTCATTATCAAAAAGAAAAATTGAATATATGATTTGAATTTTTTTTTTATTTTTGAACTTTAATATGATATGGAAATTCCTTTCAAAAAAATATGATATGGAAATGTATAATTATTTTTGAAGATTTTTTCTTTATTTTTAAAATTTATTTATATTTTTTTATCAACTTTATTTGAATGTAGGAGTAAAAATTTGATAAATATTTATAAAAATCATTTAAGCATATATATGCTTAACACGTTCAAAATTACATTCGAAGTGTTAAGATTTTGTAATTTGTAATTTGTAATTTATATGAAAAGCTTAATACTTGCCATATGCTTGTAATTTATAAACATACATAAGTACATAATAAATTCTGATTTTCTCATGATATTTCCATGTCTATAATACGAGACTAATTTCATTTCGGAATTAGTAGTTATTTGTCCCATAAGAGTGCTTTTTAAAATATATTCTTATTAAATGAGTTTCCAATAGCTATATCCATCCAAATTGATAAAATTTTAAAAAAAGTTTTATAAAGAAAATATTTTATAACTCAATCTGAATTTTATTATATATTAATTAAAATGTAAAAATTAAAAAGTTTATTTAGAAGCCCTAGTTGTTCCCCTTTATGTTTTTCTATATTTTGTTTTTAAGTCATGGCTGATTATTTAATAAACACAAATCTAGCCAGATTTGCTAATCCATGTTCTTTATAGTTATTATTTTATTTTATTTTATTTTGTTGTGTATTTATTACCCCTTATGTTTTTTATTATTTCTGTAAATTTGTTACTAATAATAATCAAGTAACAGAGCTTGTTCAAAAACATGAATCTCAATTTGTGGTTAAAATAAATTAACCATCAACCAAAATATACCATTTGTCAAGTTACTAGATGTAATTAATACTCTATTAACATAATTAGAGATTATTAAATTACTTGTCTTGTTATTTCTTGTTAAATGCCTTTATATTTTTATTTCCAAATCAAGATCTACTTTGTTTTCCAAGATAAATAAAAAATTTATGTTATTCCTTAAAAAAATTACAAATGAGGTTTTTGATTTCAAAAATATGGTTTTTTTTTTTTAATTTAATTTTGTAATATAGATATCCATATAATTTTGTGTTGTTATTATAACAAATAACAACACTCTAAAAAGTTTCCATTACTTAATTTTCATGTTTTTTTGAGAATTAATTTTCATGTTTGATATATTATGTAAATATAAAAATCACCGTAAAAATTTTATACTTTTTATTTTTTTTAATTCTTCATTTTTAAGTTCTAGGAATTCTGATGTAATCTAATTTAAACATAAAAAATAATTGAAATTAAATGTGCATAATTTTATTATTCATTCTGTTTTAAACATAAGTCGTTTAAGATTTTTTATCTAGGATTTAAGGAGACAATTGATTTTCATAAATTATAATAAAATGGAGGATAATTTTACTCAAATTACCTTTTATTTAAAAAAATAATAACTTATCAAAGGATTTATAGTATAAAATATAAATAAGAATAAAATAAAAAGAAAAAAGATCATTTATTGCTCTTTAAAATACTCAATTTTTTTTTACAAAATAATAAAAAAAAACGACTTATATTTTAAGACTAAGGAAGGTATTCAATAAAAAGTTTATATATATTTTTAAATACACTAACTATTAGGGTGTGCACGGGACTGCGGAAATCTCAACCCATTCCTAAAAGCTGTCTCGAATTTTTCATCTCGAGAAAAATCTGATAGTAATTTAATAATCCCGTCTCGAATTTTGTCCCGAAAATATTTTTGGGACGTGATTAGTTCTTTGATTAAAATCTGTCATACCGACCTAAGTTCTGTCCCATCTCTTTCCGACCCGAAAATCGAGAATTTCCTTTCTTTTTTTTTCTTTAAAATTCTAGTTGTCTTTCTTTATGAATTTCAAATTATGTCCCTAGAAATTATTTTATAATTTTTATTTTAGTTTTTTATGATACCAATTACTACTAAAATAATAATAATATGAAAAAATAATATACATTTTTAAATATAAAATAAATTAAGTAATTAAACATATTTTTGAACATTGAGTTTTCCTCTATTATTCCACGTGTTAAGTAAATCTTTCTGAATAAAATTTTTTTCTATTAAACAAAAAAATGGAAAGATTAATCAATACAAGAGAAAATATTAATTTCAATTAATCTGATTATAGGATTATTGATTATGCTTAATATTATCGTTATTTATTTTTCAGATGATATTCAAGATTAAATTACATACGTATCAAATTTAAATCAACTTAAAGACAACAATGACAAAAACAATGGTGAGTTAAAATTCATAAAATACATATAAAGTTAAATTTTATATTGTTTTGCATTATTTTATTTTATTACATTTCACGCTTTTATTAACTAGAAAATAACTACTTCAAAATCTTCTATTATAACTTCAGTAGTAGATCGTCAACGATAGAATTAATTATTTGATTTATTCTTTTTTTTTTTAAAAAAAACTTCAACTTATATAAATGAATTTTGTTTGATTGTAATTGATGAATATAGTAATTTTTTATCCTTTATCAATAAAAAATAATTTAGTAAGACTACGAAAAATTCCCAATTTATTCTCGATTTGACTCATTCTGTCCTATCTTATAGCCTCGAATTCTCGTCTCATCCCGTCCCATTTTTTAGATAGGATGAGACGAGACTTCATATCTATTAGGACGAGATTGAAACTTAATTTTTTACGTTCCAATATTTTGAGATGAGATTGAAAATTATGTAATTATCGTCCCAACCCGACCCATGTATACCCCTAAAAATAATTTAGTAAGACTACGAAAAATTCCCAATTTATTCTCGATTTGACTCATTCTGTCCTATCTTATAGCCTCGAATTCTCGTCTCATCCCGTCCCATTTTTTAGATAGGATGAGACGAGACTTCATATCTATTAGGACGAGATTGAAACTTAATTTTTTACGTTCCAATATTTTGAGATGAGATTGAAAATTATGTAATTATCGTCCCAACCCGACCCATGTATACCCCTGCTACCTATTGTTGGGAGATTGATCCCACAAAGAATAATAATAAAACAATTAAAACACTCGAAATATAATGAGTGATGAAACCAATATAAGTTAAATGTTTTTGTGCAAATAGATGTCCATTTTTATACAATCATATGAATTTTCTATTATATATGAATGTGAGAATAGAGGGGAATAATGAAATTTTAGATATCGACCTTAATGAAATTTGAAATAGTTTTATTCAAAAACTATATTTTATACCAACGAGTGTTTGGATGAGTGGTTCAATACTCTTTTCTTTTAAGTGAGATTGAGGGTCCGATCGTCACTGATGAAGTAAATATTTGTTGGGAGCACTTTACCCTTAACCCATTAGGCTCAATTATATGTGGTTAAAATAAAAAAGAAAAATTATATTTTATTATTTGATTGGATATAATTTCTAAAAATTATTTTTTGAATACTTTTTTTGTATGGTTGTAGAGAAAATTGAGAGTTTATTTAGCGAGAATGTAATGTTTTTTTATCTAATCTTTTTTATTAATTAATTAACTTATTTATTTATTTTAAATTTGCAACTTAAAAAAATATAGAAACAAAATTAGATCTTATCATTATTTGCTTTGTATTTTTCATTTATTAATTTGGCTATAATCTTTCCTTTTTTTTTTGGTATATTAACATCAAATTTTATTAAATTACAGCATTTCTAGTTAAACAGTGGGTTGAATTTTGAAATTCAAATTAGTAATTTTTTTAATATAATTTGTTTCTTGTTATATGCAGAGTCCCAAAAAGAGTTCTATTCTTATAACAATTTTTTTATTTTTTATTTTTTATTTTCTTTTTAATTACTGAATTAATTTTTAACTATTATCAATTTAATTTAGTAAGAGATTTATATCTTTTTTGTAATAAATAGATGACTTCTTGATGATTAAACATTTTTAATTTTCTTAATATTTAATATTTTTTATATTATATTCTAATATGTTTACTTGAAAAAATTAGTATTTCATAAAACTTGGAAAAAAAAAGATTAGAACTGTATATTTTTGTATTTTGGGTCACTTTTCGGCGTTTCAAAATTTTGGTGTGTATATGCATATATTTCTTCTCTGATGCCACTTGGGGTAAGTAATATTGTCGATATTAGTCAAAGTTAATTATCATTATCAAGTTCAGATCATCACTATAGTCAAAGTAATTATCATTATCCAATCAGATCATCTGCTCGAATCAATTCAGATCATCTGCTCATTTCTTTTATTTACCGAGCAGTAAAAATAATTTAGTATTATTTTTTATTATAATTGTATATAGATATTGATTTGGGGTTGAGGACATGAGGTTGAGGATTGAGTGATGACTTGATTTTCGTTTTTGGGCAATTACTAACGTTTTAAAAATCCGTATTTATAAATTAGGGACTGAAGAATTATGTTGAATTTTATTTTGAAGTCACTTCATTATAAATAAAATAGAATTAAGTACATAAGAAGTAACATTACAAATAGCTTGTACGACAAACTGCCATACAAATTAAGCAATTGTATTTATTTTAATATAAACAAGAAATTTTTTGCTTTGATTATGAAGAAGAGGGATTTGAACCTGGATATATTGTCATGCCCTATTTGTATTTACCACAAGGCTATGCCTTGATTTGCAAACAAAAACTTGTGCTTTAATATTATATAGTTAAAATAAAAT